ATAATAATAATAATAATAATAATAATAATAATAATAATGATACTAATAATAATAAAAAGTTCGTCAGTCAATATCTTTCGATAGCCATACTAATGCATCTGCCGAGGAGAATATTCCATTAAAGCGAAAAAGACGAAATAAGGTTTAGAGGACTTGTGGCAAGTACTGTGACCACCGAGACCAGTCTTGCTGGAAAAAAGTTTGCCATATTTTGAGCTCTGTATAATTATGTAGACAAGTATGTGTCACAAGGCGGCAGAGAAAAGTTTGCCACATTTTGAGCTCTATAATTTATTTGTCACGGCGAGGTGGAATCGGGCGCTCGTTATTTTTTTAATTTTTGGGGGGCATGTAGTTATCATCATCAAGCTTGTTTATTTTTCTTGCTGTAGATGGAAAAAATACTCATCTTTCTTGAATAGAAGTCCAGCTATCTACGATTAAAGGAGATGTTGGTGGCCTAGTGTCAAAAGTAAAATTAGCGAGAAAATGGTCGAACAAGTTTGGTGACCTCCAAATTAGGAGGGTGTCCTTGGCAACTGCAAATTAACATTTTATGTGCCTTTGATCAACGTTTTTCAGTAACATTCATATAGAACTGTGTTTTTAAATTGACATAAAAGGTGCTGGGCGAAAAATATCGATCAAAATTGCCCCTGGAAAATGACAGTTTCTTCGATTTCATTCTACTTATGAGCGCTGATTTCATTAAGATAACTCACAAAATACGAATCAATTAAAGCACTAGTAGATGAGGCCGTAAATTTCAGTGAGAGAGGGGTGAGGGAGAAAGCTGTTGGATGGGTCACTGAGGTGCAGTTGGCGAGTTTGGACTGGAACGTTGAAGGGGGAGGGGGTGGTTGGTGAAAGTATGGTGAAATATTACAGGTTTAACGATCTTATCAGCATGATTAGGCTATTTAAGGGGGGGAACCTCCGAGTTTAACATTCATCTCCGAAAAGACAGAGACTAATAGGAAATTCGTGTTAAGTACATTTCCCACGGACGCAACTTCGGGCTGAGCTGAAGCTCGAACCTCCTCAGGCTGAGGCCACAGGAGAGCTAGCAAATAACTTTGGAACATTCTTTGCGGAAACAAATTGCCACTATAAGAGACACATTAGATAAACACGGTTCATCTGCACCTGAATTCGAGAGGTTCCACGGGGACCCCCTATGTAATTTTTAAACCTGTTTCACAGGACACAGTGAAAGAGATCATAATGTCATCACCACCGAAGTCCTGCTGCCTTGACCCTATCCCGACACCTTTATTAGTCAACCATCTTGACGTTGTTATTGATGTTGTAACAGCAATTATTAATGATTCACACCTTTCAGAAACAATGCCTTCGTGTTTTAAGCACGCAGTCGTAACACTTCTACTAAAGAAACAATCGTTATCCCCTAATGAGTTTAAGAACTATAGGCCGGTCTCTAACCTACCATTTTTGTCTAAAATTTTAGAAAAAGTTGTTCCATCTCAATTAAGAGCACATCTTGAAGTAAATAATCTTTTAGAATGTTATCAGTCGGCCTACAGAGCGTTTCATAACACCGAGACTGCACTTTTAAAAGTCCAGAATGACTTCCTTTGTGAAGCAGACGAAGGCAAAGTGTCTGTTCTTGCCTT